CCGCTCTTCTTCCTGGCGGCGGGCCTTCTTCTCCCGCTCTAGACGGATCTTGTGCGCTTCGGTTCCGTCGTCCATAAGGGACTCTTTGAACCAAGGGTGTTGCAGTGCTTCCTTGGCTGTTATCCGTTTCTTGGGGTCGTAGACGAATATCCGCCGGAGGAGGTCGAGGAATTGACGGTTGAAGTCGGTGTGGGCTGGTATTGTTTCCTGGGAAAGGTTAGTCGACTAACAAACGAACAGTGTGACCTGCGGCGACGTACGGGAAGCTTCTTCATCGCCTTGACGTATTTCTTCGAGGCCTTGTTGGTGTCTGCGTTGGGGTAGTCGAGCTTGTAGTTCTTGAAGTATCGTGCAGCACTAGAATTGTTAGCAACGTCGTGAGAATGGTATCGTGTCTACTTACGAGCTCGACGAGTTGCGTGATGAGCCGCGGTCTTGCTTGTAGACCGCTCGCACAATGTCTCGATCAATCTTGCCACTGCAGACAGCCTCCATCATCGCCAGATGCTCGAGGTTGTCATGCGTTTGGAAAAGGGCGTCGCCAGTGAAGAATTCCACCAGGATACATCCTATACTCCAGATATCGCAAGGGAAACTCCAGCCCAGGTTGAGGATAATCTCAGGTGCTCGGTAGTGGCGAGTCGAGACTACCGAGGAGTGGTATTCGTCGTTGAAGGTCGCTGATCCAAAGTCGATGAGGCGGATCTCGGGATCAAGGAGGACCTTGCGATGCCGCGCTGTCCGGTTCACTGTTGTTGACGATGACGGTACAGTCCTATTGTACGTAAAAGTCTGGTAATTGTTGTTGACAAGCAGGATGTTCTCCGGTTTCAGATCGGTGTGGATGAGGTTGAGGTCGTGGAGGAAAGCAACGCTGGTGAAGAGCTGTTTCGCAAACTTCTGGATGTGGGAGCTGGGGAATGGGACAAAGCCGTTCGACTTGAGGAAGTCAAACACACTTTGTCCGTATAGATCGGTAACGATGCAGATGTGGTTCCGGAAGTCGAAGCAATCTCGTAGGTGAATGCACCGGTTGATGTTGTGCTTGTCGTTGGATGCCAGTGTTGACAGGACCCGCAGTTCGATACGGCTGGCATCTCGGTATTTGGGCACTGATCGAATGACCTTGATGGCACAATTTGTGCCTTTCCGTCTATCGTAGGCTTGGACGACTTTGCCGAAAGTGCCCTGGCCGAGCAGTTTTGTGATCTGGTCTGATGTCCTTTGTCAGTATCATTCTTCGGGGTATTGATCGTAGAGACCTACATCTCTCTGTGAGGTCGGCCTCTGGTACTACAATGTAGTGGCCGTCGTCGTCGTCTACCTTTTGGTCTTTCGTATATGACTTCTGGGGCACGTTAGTTCGACTCCTAGGAAAGGATGCGTGAATCTTACATCTGGGACAACCTGTACGTAGACGTCCTTCGCCTTGATTACCGGATTGGGCGGCGGCTGGTACAGGCTGAAGGGGTCGTCATTGTCCAGTTCCCGTCTTTTTGCCTGCTTTGCTTCATCCTGCACCACAGCGCGTGTGCGCTTGCGCTTCTGGCCCGCTGCGCTGTTGTCAAGAGGCGAGATGTGATGGCCATTGCTGACCTGCGAGCCTAATGACGTCGGCGCCGTGGTGTTGAGCGCAGAGGTAGTGCGGTCGGTGGACAGTGAGTGGTTGGGAGAGTCGTAGTAGGGTGTTTGGGTGGTGGAGTAGGACGTGTGCTGGTTGTAGACGGGGTCGTATGCCGTGGATGCGGTCGTCTTGCGCTTCTTGTCTGTGTGGCGCGCAGTCGGGTTTGTCGCGATGCGTGACGAGGGCGCGTGGTTGCGAGGCGGAGGCAGCTGGGGTTCATCGTCGTCGTCGTCGTCGTCAATAACAATGACCTCCTTCGGGATGCCGTTCCTGTAGAAGTCGGCCCAGTCGGGGTTCCGCCGCCGGTGGGCGGAGCCCGGGTCGTTCGCGCTCATGTCGATGGGCGGGGCCTGGGAGATGGGCGGCAGCTGGGGCGGGTGTCGTGTGTGGGCAGTCGCGTTTCGGCGAAGGTCTGAACTGGAGGAAGCGCTAGCGTAGCCGTTGTAGAGCGAGTTGCCTATCCGAGCGCCGCCGTTGGCGATCTGGGCATTGGCGATGCTGGGCTGGTACGTCTGGTGGTGAGAATAAAACTGGTGATGGGGCGGGAGTGTGGCCGTGGCGGTCGAGGGCGTCGACATGGCTGGGTGCGTCGCTGGGGGTGCGAGAGCCGACGTCGTGACGCTACTCGTCTGCACAGGCAAGCGGACCAAGCACGTCGGTGAGGCGGCCAAACGGCGCGACGGGGGCGCCGAATTGGGGGAGCGTCGTCGTCGGGATGCTCAGTCGGCGCTTTTGCGTGCTGGGACGCTTTGTCGCAGCCAGCAGAGGCGTTATCGCAGGCCTGGGCAGGTGGATGGCGCTGCGGAGGTGCTGGAGCCGCGGCTGGAGGCAGTGCCGGGGCGGGCTACGAGGCGACTGAGGGCGATGGGGGTGCACGCTGGGAAGAATGGCGGGCGTCGGACATGCCAGAGAGGTGGTGAAGCGTTGATGTCGCCGGGTGGAAGCAGGCGAGGTTGAGATCACACTTGTTGCGGAGTCTGTGGTGAGAACCGGCCTGTGCGGTCCACATGGAGCGTCATTCGTTCAATCTTCTCGCGGCACGCCAGCGACGTCTCTCTTTCGCGTCTCGCGCCGAACTCTGCCTTGTCCTAATTCTGCGGCCCAAGACTCGACACTGCTCTATGGGACTCTATTTGATGGCAATAATCCCGCAGCGCTTGTCTTCTGCTGTTGCTACATGTCCGCACCCAGATCATGTGCCTGCAGCGCGTTTGGCGACAGCCCGCCTCGTGAAAGAGAAAAGCCGCCCGAAGCCCATTAATATGTCTTCGGTCGCTTGCAAAAGAGGGTGGCACGCCGTCTCCACTCGACCTGTCTGGATTCCCTCGAACTCAAACATTACCAATATCAAACATTCATCATTAATTCACGATTACATTCATCGCCTTCACACGTACATTCCACCATATGCATCGCTCCTTCCCTCCCGCCCTCGATACTGCCCAGGTGCTGAACCGCGCCCAGACCACCACCCTCCGTCGCAGACATCTGACTGAAACCGCTGCACAAGACTTCCACCCAACAATCAAAGGACCTCCGTAACACTAATCCCTACACCGCGTGCGGCTCTAGCACCTTTCCCCATCAAACAAAGCCCTTGTGTGACCGCTCTGCAAAGTGAAGCAACGACCGTGGTCACGAGAAGACCAAGACAATGATCTGCGATGCTGCACGTACCTACAAGTGTCATCTGGTTACTGTGGTAGTAGTCGTCGAGCCTCAACCATCGTACGTGACGAGCGCCTCGAGAGACATGATGGCATGGCAACAACCCGATGAGTTTCTCGACACATTTGTTGTGATCAAAGTTCGAGGTGTTCAGGGTCCATCCCAATGCAGCTATTCCCGCGATGCCGCTTTCTAAATGCACATTCCCGGTTCTTCGCGAAGCTTGGAGGCTGGGATAATACATACAAGGCGCGGTCCCTGCCGCACGTGGAACTGCACTTCCTTCTGTTGCTTCTCTATTATGACGCAATCATCCTCCTATTTTGATGCTCTCACCCATGTTACCCTCTAGGCACACGCCCTGACGCTGATGTGAGAATTCTTTTACCGCGGTTCATTGGTACCGCCCATTTGGATGCGCTTCTTTGCCTCTGCCTCTTGGCTGATGGAAGGTTCGATGCACGCTGCACTCCGCTTCGAAGATAACGTCATGGCCCCCTCAACGCTTTCCCCACTCCTACACTACAATTTGTAGGGTTATGTGCACAGCCCATCTGGCTATGTCGCTGCGATGAATAATGAGCAGGTTCTGGAAGATAGCCCTGGTAAAGGAGCCGCCTGCGCCTTCCTGGTGACTTAACCGCCAAGGCGGAGTCGTGACTTGACGGGTGGTCTGTGCGCAGCACAGGTGTGTGGCAGCGGACTTTCAACCCTTGTCTGGCAAACATGTGGGTACTGTGAGAATGTGATTTACGAAAATGCAGGTTGTTCCAGTTCTATGTTGTTGTTGATAAACAAGGACATGTTGCTGTTGCTATGTGTGGTATGTGATAGAATTGAGACGTCGTACATCCCGAATGCAGTGTGACATCTGCATGTCACCAGGCTCCAGTATTGAAGTCGTAGCTTACGAGGAAATGGTTGAAGTAGTTGGTGAAGTAATTATTTCGTATACTGTGATATTTTGCGGAAGTATTAAATTCTGGTTTCATGTTATAAAACTCATGTTTAATATGGATAAATAAACATATATTTCTATCTCGATAGACCAAGGGAGGTGAGGATGAACGCATTGGCTTCTAACATGCGAATACGCTTTCGGTCTTTAGCCTGATAGCCGTTTCAACTACGAGAAATGATTCAGACAGCAGCCCCAATGCAGTTTTGCAGATGATCTTAAGTGCACCGTGAAAAAGATGCAGCATTCAAACATCCAGTCCCAGAAAACGATCACAGAGCCGCCGTGCACATACTGATCACAAAGGCCTTCCGTGCAGTGCAAAGAAAAAAACCAAGAAAAATCGTAATCGTTCGTTGCGACGGAAATATGGTAGAGTGGCGGCCATCGTCCAGCGGTCGTTAAGATGGTGCGACGTCGATATCTAGAGCTTCGGTACGACACTGAGCTCCTCGAAGAATTCAATGATGGTCTTGCTGACACGCTCCACGATGTAGTCGACGTCGGCATCGGTGACGTTGTATGCAGGGGCGATGATGATGTGGTCACCGCGGATGCCATCAACGGTACCGGAGCCTGGGTACGTGTACACATTGTATCCATCCTCCAGTCCTGCGAAAAGGGTTAGCGATGAGATGTTTGTTGGGACAAGATGAATTTACCAAGTTCATGTACCCTCCAGGCCACTGCCACTTCTGGATCGAAAGCTGCCTTGGTGTGTTTATCTTGCACAAATTCGATCTGTCTTTGTTAGTAGTCGCACAGCGAATGCCATGTGGTGTTCAAACTTACCCCTATGAAAAGACCCTTTCCTCGGATATCGAAAACGTTGGGGTGGTCGCCCAAACGAGCTTTCAGCTTCTGCATGAGCTTCTCCCCCTTGTCGCGAACATTCTCCAGAAGATTGTCATCTCGGACAATCTCTTGGACCGCCAGACCAGCAGCGCACGCAGTTGGAAAATTCTGGAAAGTATGTCCATGTGCAAACGCGTTGTCTCCCATGGCATCCACGATGGTTGGCCCGACCAGCATTGCGGAGAGGGCTGCATAGCCGCCCGCAATGCCCTTGCCTACCAATTGGATGTCTGGAACGACGTCCTCTTCCTGCCAGGCATGCATGTAGCCAGTGCGGCCCATGCCACACATGACCTCATCCAGAATCAAAAGTACGCCGTATTTCTCGCATACTTGCTTCATCGCCGTAAGGTAGCCGGGCAGTGCGGGAACACATCCAAGTGCCTGTATTCATGTGTTAGTCATCAACAAGCGGGCAAAAGAAACTCATGCCCACATACCGCGCCAACGACAGGCTCCATGACGAAGCCTGCTACTGTGTCAGGTCCAAGATCAAGAATCTTGCGCTCCAGCTCATCGGCAAGCCGCTCAATATATTGAGCTACAGAATCTCCCTTCTTCATATCGCGGCTAGGGTAGCAAGGAGATATGAACTGCGTCTTCTCAGGCAGTATAGGTAGATAGATCTCTTTACGGCCTTTGTGTCCACTGGTTTCGAGAGCACCAAGAGTCGCTCCATGGTAGGAGCGATCGCGGGCAATGAACCAGCTGCGTTGAGGTTGCGGATTCGGCTTCAGCTTGGAGTGATATTGATAGGCTAGCTTTTGTGATGCCTCATTAGCCTCAGAACCTGACATCTGTCAGCTTGACCTCCACCCTGAAGTTTGGAACCATCTTACCAGACCCATAGAATACCACTTCTGACATCTTGTCATCGGTTGATTCGAGAATAAAATCCGCAAAATCTTCCACTATCTCGGTGTGAAAACTCATCGATGCGGCATACCCAACACCGGACTCTTGTTGCTTCCTCACAGCTTCAAACACTCTTTCGTCCCTATGACCAATGTTTGATACAGCGGCACCTCCAGATGCGTCAAAGATCTTCCAGGCCTTCTCTCCGTCTACTATCGAAAGCCAGTTGCCCTCGGCGCCTTCCAGAAACAACGGAGGGCCCCTTGCACTGCGTTTGAGTAAAGGACTACCGAGATTATCGCGACCTCGGCGGGCTCGACGGCTGCGAGAAGTAACTAGTGCAGGAACTTGGTCCATCGTTCCAAGTGAAACGCTGCTCTGAGATGCGGGACTGGAACTGCCGCTATCATCTATCAATAAAGCCGGTGCCATCTTTGCTAGTTGGCTTTTAGTATTAGTGAGTAGTAGTCAGTGTTGTTGAGAAGAAAGTGGGAGATTGATATAGGAAACGGTGTGTGCAGCAAATGTTGAATGTATTTGCACGATGCCCGGAGAGACTGAAAACGCAGGTGAATGATGGGTGACTTTATATTCGATTGATAGTAGCGTGAGCTAACCACGACGCGTATGGTAGCCCGACCGGTGAGGCATCCTCTTGGAGTGGAGCGTTTGCGGTGTAATCAGGCTCAGGGTCACTAGGACCACACTTTGATTCTCGGCACACCATCTTCAGCCCTAAATTCGGGCCGTTTGAGGAGCCTAAATTCGTGAAAAACAGTGCAAGAAACGATGCCGGTTCAGAACTGGCTTCCAGGTGGATAGATATGTAGGTAGGACGCGGTGAACAGATTCTAGGATTATTCATTCTTGTGGAGAGTTTAACGGTCAATCGCTTACCTTATTAGCCAATCAGCGCAGACCGTGGCTGTTTTACCGGATTTTGCTTGCTATCAAGATGATAAAAGGACGGTCAGCCGGATGTGATAGGAAGACGCATCGTGTCAGATCAGTGGGCATTGTCGCCTCGATGTCAGGGCGAAAACCAGAAATACCCCTAGATAGTCATCTTTGCATATGCTGCGCGGCGTATCATTGTCCAGGAGACGGGGACGGTTGTCAGCAGGGCCAACGCGAGTCGTGCGTGCATATCCCGTCCTTGTCGGATTCTCCATCGTATCTCACATGGACAGGCTGGCACACGTATGCAGTGCAGGACTGACAACGCCTTGATCTAGCGGCTCGCGAACGGCTGCGACGCCTGCATTCTTGCCACATGGTAGAAGTGGAGTATAGAAATACGCCGGGGTTTGGGATCGACGAGGTCGCTGCGGCCGCATGCTATCCGGTGCCAGGAAGATCGGATTGGGTTTTAGCCGTTCATCTTGTGTATCCGAACCTAGTGTATAGAATCCAAGAGCTCTTTCTTGGTTAATGACGGCATTGAACACGAAGGGAGTATCGCGAATTCTGCCAAAAGCGAGAAGGCCCGCATGAGTAGTGTCGCGAGTACCGGCGCATTCTACAGGCCAGAAGCCCTGGAGGTTGCAATGCTAGTACTCCCTCGATTGCGTATACATGACCTGACGCGGTCTACTACGATGTCTAGACTGATCTTTTGTCATGCCACTACAATACTGTAAATCAGGACAGCGCAAGGATGTGCTGGAGGGAACGACTCAGCTCATACGCTGACGCCTGGTGCATGTGATGGCTTGGCCAACCACATCCATGCGACCCAGCCGCGCTTCATCATACAGGCCTGATGAGAGGAATGGCATATCGGCGCTTCAATGGTTGGTTGGGATGCTGGACACATGCAAACCAGCTGCCACAATCGACTAACTGCAGATTCTGGCACTAGCGCGGAGGTATACAATGAGGCAGACAGTAAATGTAGACGCTAGGTTAGGTGCCACAATAGCGAAATGGGAGGTACTTTTCCGACGGAGCAAGCTTGACGTGGTGGCGCGGGATGATAACGGCCAGACCCTGCGTATACCGGCAGGCCGTTAGCTGGGTCCCAAGACGTCACCTGACGAGCTTGGAGGCCGTAAGTTGCGGTGAAAGAGAGAGAGTTAGCTCAGTGTTGGGAGGTGGTGCTAGAGCGATGAAGTTGTCCGTCGGGACGAGAGCAGTTGCCCGGGCCGTGATGTGGAGCTGGAAGAAAAGCGCCGAAGCGCCGAGCCGAGTCGGAAGCGCCTGCCTCTTCCATAGCCAAGCCCGCGTTTAGCCTCCCCCACATCCTTCCAGACATGCAGGCGGCCTTCACCACAACGCGATAATTCTATCATACCGGAGAAGGCAAGGTGAGTGACGGCCCGAGGAACACTGCTATTGCACGCGATCTGACTTCCAGATAGGACCGGACCGAAGCCACGATGAATCCACGCGTCGAAGAAGTCAGCGATTCGGACAGCGATCCGTCAGAGATGGGCATCGACGATGTACCCGCTCTGATGAACGCGAATAATATACCCAGCACGGGCAACAAGTCCATGCCGACACAAGCGCAGATGCAGGCGCTCCAATCGCAGATGCTGCAGCCGCAATCGCCGTCCATGTCGACATCTACGGACCGGGAAAAGTCCAAGCACTACCAATGTCTATACCCTATATACTTTGACAAGTCACGGACACGGGCTGAAGGGCGTCGCGTGGGAAAGGAGCTCGCGGTGGAGAACCCTCTGGCACGGGAGATGGCCGACGCTGCTGCCGACTTGGGTCTCCGGACTGTTTTCGAGCCTGACAAGACTCACCCCAAAGACTGGGCCAATCCTGGCAGAGTGCGCGTCCTTCTCAAGCACGAAGGCAAATTGATGGACGACGATGTGAAGAACAAGCACCATCTCTACATCCTCATCGCCCAGGCCCTCAAAGCCAATCCGACACAGAAGAATACACCTTTCAGGTTACCCATCGCGGGCCTGCCTATGCCCAAGGAGATGCCGGAGCCAGCGATACCAAAGGGCTGGAAGATGAGCAAAATCCTCCCCTTACACTCACCTGCCCTAACGGGTGGCGGTGTCAGTGAGAACTTTTTACAGGATATGATGGGCGAGATGATGGGCGGCGAGGCAGGCAGCGGCGCAAGCAGCGGGACAGAGTCAAAGAAAAAGATCAAGGACAAAAAGAAGAAGTGAATCAGCATCCTGGACCATCACCATCTATGCGTCAACGCTTACTTCGCCTAAATCAAACGCCAATAGGCCGGCAAATATCACATAACCTGCGCCGCAGCCATACATGATGGAGGCTGTCGTCACATCTTACATATCACTCCACCGCGCGCTTAGATACCATCCCGATATAAGCGACCAACGTCTCTTGTCGTGGGACCAGCGAATCAACACCATCTACAATCATACAGCAATGCTTCTTCGCTCTGTCCAAGTCGCCTTTGCGTGGCACTAACGCCTGCATTGCTTTCATCTCCTGCGCTGCTCTTACATTTCTCGTCTAGAATTTCTCTTTCGGCCTTCTGTCGACACGCGACTCGACATGATTCGATACTCTATCAATATGCACATCGCTGCTTCGTTAGCTATATGCATTCTGCACACGGAAACCTCCTTGCAGCACTATGTACCACTAGCTGCTGCACATTCGCCATCGAATACTTCGACCGGCATGCGAAGTCCCGTTTTCTACGCCACTTGACAACAATATTCCGCGTGATACCCTGCGTCTGATTATCTATTCTTACATAGCATCGCCACCTCATCACGCTTCCTAGCTGCGCACACGGATGTTTAAATATGACACGATTCTTGGTATACTTCTGCGTTATGTATGTATACGATTCAGTTCAAGTGGGTGGCCCACTACCTAGAACAGAGCCCCACTAGCTCACCGTTCAAGCTTTCAGCCTCTAAGTCTGTGACAGCCCCGCGGGCCGAGTAAAATTCTATCGGAGAACAGTTGGCCTGCATGTACCCTTGCACCCACACCACTTACCTGTCACTGGTAAGGCGCCTCATTCGTCCGTTCTCGTCATTCTCTGGCCTTACATTCTTAGTCTGCTCGCTACTCCACTTCGTGTTTCTCACATGGAACGTCAGACTCGGAATTGTTGGGCCAGGGGGATACGTTGGTCTCTATGTAGCGAGTGGTCGTGTTTACTGAGCCTCAGCCGTGCAACCACCAGATCTGGCCAAACACAAACGTATGAGAATGCGACACAAGACTTCGCAAGGCATCCGACTAACCTGCCGCTAATGAATATGGGCTTGTTGACCTCAGCCGTGCTGTCGTATCTACGGCTGAACTTTCCCGATCAACAGCTCTCGGGAATCCGGATCATGTTACGTACAGAACAGCAGACGCGCAATTATATAATGGTAAGTCGATAACGATTGGAGCTTTCCAGGAGACCAGCAGTTGTGACAGGTCTCAGCTATATGACAAGACCAGTCTGATAGTGCCTTTGGGTGGTGCCATACCCGTACTTGGCCGACCGCGATAGAGTGTCATCATACAGTCGTGGGATGGAAGAGCCCTGCATTCCAGCCCGCTCGTCTAGCCTCTAAATGACCGTATTGCGATTGGCTTGCATATCGACTAAATCCCCTTACAAGCTATCATTCGGAGCGCCACCAGGTGTAATCGC